ACGGGTCTTGCCCGTGTTGAGATTGCGCTGGAACCCCCATTCCCTATACTACTTTACCTTGTTAGTGGAAAACCCTCTAAGGGGATATCCCAAGATAATTAGTATCCTATCAGGGAGGATTGGATAGGTGGAGGGTAAGTACTCCATTCACTTTAAGCAACAAATTCTGGGAATACCAGCCAGCACTTATATTGAGCCATTGTTTTAAAATTTACTTTCACTTTTTGATTGGGCACTTGATACTATCCATGATTGGGATATTACTTTAATTAGAAAATCTTTGGTCATTTGTTATACCTATAATTTATATAAAAAATCCTGTTTTGCTGCACTTTTACCAGTAACTCTGCAATTTTAGAGGACTCTAGGTTGATCACCATGAGTTCACAAATGATCGAGGGAATATGTGAGACAAAAAAGTTGTAGAAATAATAATGTCATCTGGGCCGGGGTTAGCCTTGTGGATCTTTTTGCTTTAAAAACTACTAGAGTCTTTTATCAAACTACACAAATATGTACCTTCTATGAAACTGCTGAGAGATACTTCCGTCCATTTTCGTTGTACAAGACTAAAACCAGCAGAACCTGCGTCCACTAGATTCGACACTTTGATGGTGAAAATAAACCGCCTTGAGCCTCCTGCTATCACCTCAACGTACCTTAACCAAAAGAGATTTCACGATGATGAGTTTACGTTGATACTATTAGCCAATAAAGGGAGCAAAAACGCATAAAGTGAGAGAACGAAAACGAAACTTAAATGGTCTAACTTACTTGACTTTGGACGCATCGAAATCGTTGTCATTGACGATCAGGCAGTTAGTAAGCGATAATTTGTCCGATGGACATTTAGCTACTTTCAACTGAACCATGTTGACTGCTCAAAAGGGCGAAGAAGAGAGAGAAGCGTTGATATTCTATCCGTGTTCCTGAATTTCTTGTAAAATCTATTTTCATCTACTTGGCCGCCATCTTGAAATATCGATTTGGTGGACATGACCGCTGGACAGTAACACGTCAGTTTTAACACGTCATCAGCGATGATGATGATTATTATGGGAAAACGACTTACGACAATACACGTTACGCCACAACTGGCTTTATTACTAACAGCAATCAAACTCATACAAAGGAGTTTTTTACGGGCTATTTATTTCCAAAATGATAAAATTGCCCTAATTCACTATGACGTCACATCAAAACAATCTATTGTTTAAACGCAAAGGTTCATGGTCGTCGGACGGGGTCAAATCAACGCAAATTCACCGAAAATCGTTCTAAAACCCGTATCAATTCACGAAGAGAAGTAGAATAGCCAGCAAACGCTCGGAATATCTCTTAGTACATATTAACACATATTATATCTGAAAACCAGGCCATTTTAGATCAAACTGTTTAGCTAGGTGCAAATTTTGTTGGATTTTCTATTGGATTTGGCGATTCTATCCCCCACATAAACAAGCAGTGACGTGAAACAACCTACTGTTCTACAGCTCGTTATGCCGGGGGGGGGGGGGTACTCCCCTATATTTGCTATACGGGTATGTGCCGCCCTATAGGGTATGGTTTTTCGGCTTTTGGGTCTGGGGTAGGGTATCATTTTTTGACATTTTGTCTGGGATAGGGTATCATTTTAGTCTGGGATAGGTTAACGATTTGGTCGTTTTTGTCTGGCGAATAGGCTATGCTTTCTGCCGACCAAAAACAATAAAAATGTTAGTAATAATCGATTGTATAACCGTATTTTCCGTCTTTTAGTCTGGGATAGGGTGTACAATTCTTAGTTTTAGTCTGGGGTAGGGTATGTAAAATCAAAATTTTAGGTCTGGGATTGGGTCAGGGTTTTGAGGTCCTGGCGGCACACCCCTACCCAAGTTGGGGTGGTAGCACCCTCCCCCCGGGCTCGTTATTAGGTTTCGCGGAGGCCGTTACGGTTACTGGAAAACTTGAAAAATACTCTCGAATCAAGGGAAAGACCTCGCATGTATTGCCTAGTCCATGTGTTTTATTTTGGGTCAGGAATTAGGGAATTTTTGTTTCCTCTTTATTTTTTTCTCTCTATCTTTTCATTAATATATCATTTGTTTCATACAAAAATAAAGATTGTTTTCAGTCCTTCAATGTTTAATCAAAGCATGAAAAAGTCTTGAACCGGCACCGGCAATCAGTTTGTGAACAAATCAGGCGCAAAACCCAAGCCTTTTCTCCCTAATACTCTACGACCACTCCCTTCTCCATAAGAAAAGCGAAAAGTTTCTTATCAGCCCTGTTCTGACTCCACCAGACCTTCTGGCAGAAGGATAACATAATAAAAAAGGGGAAAAAAGAAGCAAGATCCAGAGTAGCGCACCTATCGAAGTGACCTCCCAGCCCTTTGGTTTCCCTGTGGTGGTTTTTTCTATAAGTGGGCTTCCTGTGGTAGCAAAACAAGATGGCAGTCAGCATGACAAAGTATTTTTTTGTGCCGATGAATATTCTCTGCAGACAAGCTTTTGGAATCGTTAAAAAATAAGAAATTAGTTTTTTTTTCATCTTTAACATAAAATGAAGCTGAGGATTCGTTTTCGAGGTCGTAGAGAACTTATTGAGCTTTCAAATACACACGAAATAATTTTGTCTGATGTAAAACGAGCTGTTTGTCAACAACTTTCGTTATCGTAAGTCAAACTCGTACCAATATTCTTCCAATACCTTTATATAAATCATACTTTTTATAGTCTATATTGGTAGCTTTGTACCTTAGACACATCCTTCAACAACAATTTAAAAAATATTTTATGGCTAAATTTTGTAAAATTAAGATGGAAGTTGCTTATGTCAGCTTATTGCATGAACTAGTTCCCTTTTAAGAAATGATGTAACCTTATTTTTACTACTCGCTGTCTTTTATCAATTAAAACACATGTTACCAGCATCAATTCTTGAGGTACATGTGACGTTATACTCTGGAACTGCCATTTTGGTTGACTTTGATTTGGTCTTGGTGTCTTTTGTCATGTCAACCAGCAGAAAGCAACACACTATTAATGGTTTGCAATCCTTCCCAAGAGAATCCAAAATAACAAAGACATGGCAGCCATGTTGGTGGCATAAGCGATGGATGGTTATGCATAAAAATAGCACCTTTAGAGACAGGAGTTGATTTTTTTTCTCTTGCAGAATGTTTTTGTTTTAAAATCATTGTTTATCTGTTTATAGGGATAACAGTTTTCAGCTGTCATTAGATGGGAAGACACTGCTACCAACAGAAAATGGATCCACACTCAGAGACTTGGGTATTGTCGGGGGTGATCTTCTACATGTATTGTTCAACGAGGCTACTACCTCAGGTACTTCCTTCGCATCAGCTGCAGAAAGAGGTGCCACAAAAAATAAAACACAAGATGGTAACCAAGAGTTATTGGAACAACTGCTTCAAATGGGCTTTGCCAAGGTAAATCTTCCCTGCGAGCAGAGCCTATTTTCCTTTTGTTTTGGTTGAGAGGGAAAAATAGACTCTGCCGATGTAGGACGTTATTTCTGTCACGCATGCGTGGCGTAACTTAGCAACGCTGTCATGATTTTGACAGCCGCTCTCGTCAAACAATGTTTGGCGCCACGGTGTCTTACATTTGCTCATGCGCACTACATGTAATTGGTTAAAAACCGGTTTTAAAACTGGTTTTGTTCGTCCACAATCGTGGACGGGGGTATATCAAAGGAAACGCTCTACATCAGCAGAGTCTCCTTCCTCCCTGCCTGAAAGAAGGGAGAGAAAGAGAAGAGAGACTCTGCTAGCAGGGAAAGGTAAATCAAAATATGATAAAAGTTTTCCCTAAACTCAAACATTTGTATGTACTGTGCGTGGCATTACTGTTGTATATAGTTAATTAAGAAATATAAAATGCATGCTCATGTCTCTGTACTGTCGTGAGCGTAAGAGAAGCATGCTTAGGTATGTGAGGCATAGCCAAGTACAGAGTACTGCAGAGACATAAGCAACCATCTCATATTGCTTTTATACAATATTTTTGAACAATTTTGCACAAGTGCTTTTCTATCTTCTTAAGCTGATATAAACATGGTAGCCAAACAATCAGCCAGCATGTTATATCTCAAATATTTTATGAATAATATGTAAGTACAGTAATTTCATGTACATGTACAGTGTACATGTTAATGTTTGAGTTCAGGTAATGAGTTTCATATGCCATTTCTTACAACCATATGAAAACTACTCGCACAATATAATGTACTCAGCAGACAATATAATTCATTATGCCTGGGTTTGATAATAATGTTATTTTATTCGACATATTAAGGAATCTGCACTGAGAGCTCTTCACACTACCAAAGCAATATCACTGAATGAAGCCTTGGACATCCTCAGTAGAGAACAAATATCTACATCAAATGCCCCAAGCACATCAAAAGAGCCATGTCATCTCCATGAAGCTATGGACACTGAAAAGTCAAATACAAATGAAAATCCCACTGTGAATAAAAAACAAATGGATAAGAAAGAAATGGCAGAGGCTCATGGTGATGACGACAGGAGTAAAGACACTAAATATCATCCTAATGTAACATATCAACCTTCACGTGAAGATACACAAAAGCTACGGAAAATAGAATATACTCCCAAGGCATTGCTGTGCCGAGATGGTATTCCATATTTACTACAGATGTGTTATGAACAAGCATTAATAACTACACTACATGAGGCTGTGTGCATTGCTATTCATGTATTGATGTTGGAAACTGGCTTTGTTAATCATATAACACAGGTACATATAGGGCAAAATAATGTACCAGCATTTTTGGGTTTATTGAATGTATTTCTGTATCTTGAAGCACAGATAAGCCCAAGCCATTCATCCGCCTTACACCCAATCAATGTACGACAATCTGAGTCAGTTATTGTTGCACATCCTCAACAAACTAATGGCACTTTTTTTAGTTAAGATTTTACCAACTCAGATTATTTTGGGCACAAGACAAAACATACTGTGGAAGTGCTATGTGTTGCAATTTACAATCACAAATGTAACTGCCGTTTTGGATATTCTGCAAACTCTGTAGTTGCAGGCTGCAATTTGGTTTTTTGCATACGCCAATCAAATATAATCAATCAGTACCTTATATGTTCTTGACTGGCGGCAGAAAAAACCCATTTCACAACAAGCCATTGCAATGTCTGAGTGTGCAGAATATCGAAATTACTGTTATTTTTTGTGATTTGTCATTTTTCACCTAACTTATGGAGTTTTATATTCTGTGTGTTTTTGATATAAATTTATAGGAAAGTGTAGACAAACATCCACAATCAGACGAAGGACCTTCAACCTCAACAAAAGAAGACACAATTATACCAAGTTACACTCCTGTTGTTCCAGATAACTGGAGGACAAATTGTGGTGCAAAGTTTGTGTATGTTCATCCTGCTTGTCCTCGGTTAACATGCCGTCTGGTGTGCACATCTCTTGGGCCATATGTATTAGCACATGGTGAGTGGCATCATGCAAAGAATGAAGCATTAATAGACCCTTTTCGAGTTCCAAATTACCGCTGTGTTCCTTACGAACTCATTTACTCAGGGTTAGCCTCGTATCAGTGTTTAAATATTAGCAAATACCAACAGTAAAGTGAAGAATACACAACTTCAACAATACAAACACTTTGAAATTCCACATACCTTCCCTGGAACACGTAAATATTCTGCACGAAGTGAAGACCAACCCTGAGGAACAGAAAAATTCGAAACTGGATTATTGAAACATTAGAAAAAATTCCATCCACCACTTCATTTCCCCTCAAACCTACCCCACCCCCTGTAGGTAGGTCTTGTGTTGTTTCGTAATATACCCAATACACACTCCCCCCCCCCCCCCCCCCCCCCCCCTCACATGGAGAATAATTGCAATTTCATCAAAAAGGGAAGCATGGGTGGTGTAGCGATGTGAGCGGTCACCTCATCAGTGCGACCCGAGTCCGAGTCCCGCTGGGTTCGGTGTAGTATATGAGTAGAGTTGTTTGTTGGTTCTCTCCTGTGCTTCGAGGATTTTCCAGGTTCTCTGGTTTTCCTCCCTCCGCAAAAATCAACTCCTAAATTCCTATTCCATCACGGAATGAGGGCCACAGGTTTGTTAACCACTGGCTATTAAGTGCTACCCTCGTGAAAAAAGGACGTCTTTTTTTTTGTTTTTTTTAATACCCTATATATTCCCAGTAAAGAAAGAAAGTCTTTGCAGTTCAGAAAGTGTCCAGGCACCACACATGAGTGAAAGTTGCCAAAAAATACTTATTCCTCCACCATGTACAGAGATTGTACAGATAGAAAAGTCCCATACTAAACCTTCCGCAAAACTAGCTGTGTGGTCTAATAGTGATAGATGCATGCCATTTATTGCCGTCTTAAGAAATGACGACATCCTAGTAAAAGAAGCTTTTTATCTTGTAGGAATGTCAACCTCTCCCTCTTGCAGTGAAGTTCATCAGTGCAGGCTTTCTGCAGCAGATTTTGTCAAAGGCAATGTGGACCTTAGAGCCAATAGTGAGTAAAGCTGAAAACATGGATTCTTTCTAAGTTATCACTGTACAATTAATATAAGTTATTGTGATTTTGAGCCACCAATACACATTCATACGTGTATGTAGTAGCTAGTTTGGAGAAAATATATCCAGTATTGGCTGTTGTCATGAATTCTGAATTATTATGTTTGTGGTAGTAAGACTTTGTACTAGAAAATGAAACATACTATCTTATTGCTGTTTAAAATGGCATACAGTTCTGGAAATCTTTAGTGAAAAATTAATCATGAAAGTCATTTTAAGTTTTAGGTGCTGCAGATGTGTACAGGAATCTACAGCGCCTCTCGTTATCAGTCAAAGACCAGATTGCATACCCACTTCTGTCCTCCATGAGACATGGTGAGTTGTGCTGTTAATGATGGCATGAATTTGAATATCAAACCCTGAAACAACATCTGGACTAATCTTAGTCAGCCACTCATAGATGGAATGAAATTTTTTCTATAAAATCCTTTACATAAGACCCTGTTACATGTTGAAACTTTTAGCTGAAACTTGTTTTTACAGCAGCGTTGCAAGACAAGTTTAACCGGGGTGTTACACAGTGCAATTTTGTTCAGAAACTTGTTCACAACAAAAGTTTCAGAATAAAATTGCACTGTGTAAGTTAAAGTTACAAGTTCTTGGAATGCTGTTGCACACAAGTTTCAGCTAAAAGTTTCAACGCACAACAGGGCCTTTAATAAGTCAATATCTGCTATTATCAACAGAGCTGAATTTAGAAGAAATTTATGGATTCATGGCTTTGCCAGCTGAAGTGAAGGTAAAGCACAATAAATATATTACTACTATATTATTATTATCCATATTATCCATCATCATTATAGTCATTGTCAGCATCATCATCATCATCAACAACTTCACCATTATCATAGTCATCATCAACATCAGTATCATCATCAGCAACAGCAACAGCAGCACCATCATCATCACCATCCATGGATTCATGGCTTTGCCAACCGAAGGGAGGATAAAGCGCAACAGATATCACTATGACAACCATCATCATATGATCATCATCATCATAATCCATCCATGGATCATTGCCACCACTCCCATCATCATCATAGCCATCACTATCACCATCATCATCATAGTCATCACTATCACCATCACCATAATCAGTCATCATCACTATCACCATCATCATCTCTCCTGACATTACCTTTACCACTGACTTCAATCTTTATCACTTGAAAGTAAGTTATATGTATGAACCATTCAGATGTGGATTACTTGTTTCTGTTTAGCTGATGGTTCTATGCCTGTTACCTGTCAAGTGTATCCTTAACATGTCTGTCACCTGTCGAGAATTGCACGCCCTTGCCGACGACCACACCCTGTGGCAACATCTGTGCTTCAGAGATTTTGGTATGTTATTCTTCGACTTCTTGAATAGACCTCTCCTTAGCTTGGGCATAATGTTTTCTCATTTCAGACCATGTGTCATTCCCTTGAGAATAAGATTGCTCGTTTGAAATGTGTCCATGTTTTTTCATGTGCAACCATTAAATAAAGAAATGATACTATAGAGAATGACACAAAGACTGAAATGGGAAAACATTACACCCAAGGTAAAGAGGTCTTTCGCTCAAATACAGAATATTCTTATCCTTAGATTATGTTTTATGTGACGATTAAGGATCTGTTAGTAATCAAACATTTAGTAACTCTTATCAGGTTCATCTGATTGTTTTTCTATGACACAGCTCCGTTAACATCTGTAACAAATTATTGACAACTATTGACTAAAAGGCACAAGATTATAGATCCAGTGGTTTCCATGGGAAAGGAATATCCACATCTTTTTGCTCCTGTGCTCCCTTTAGACTTTCAAAATTGTGAATGTGGTCTACATTAATTTTAGACAAGATGGAATCCCTCCATTACAAAACAACTGAGGAGAGGATACCCCTAGTTTTTTATCCAATCAGAGGCTAGTAGGAGACAATCAGTTATTTTCGTTTTCTTTTCCCTCACAGGTTTGCTGACTAAAGGAAAATACTCATCTTGGAAAACGGTAATTGAAACAGTCCATGGAAACAGCTGTTAGTTATAACCACTACTCCTCCCCCTCCC